TTTGTGTGGTTTGTCCACTGTCTGGTACTGAGACAAAACCAGACATGGTTTTGTCCAATATCACGGATGAAGGACACATGCAAGGTCACATTGGCAGGCAAGGCGATGAGGTAGGGGCAGGGCCACGGCTTTCCCAGAAGTACCAGAATGTCCGGTGTGGTGTTACTTTCTAGAAATAATAAACCCCATAATGGTTTATAGAAATATGCTTATGAGTGTAAAGATGACATGACTGGAATATGTTTTATGTTAGATATGCCATGTAACATATCTCTGCAAAGACTATGATCTACTGGATATATTCATCCTAATTACATGCATGCATCAATTTGTATTCCAAGTTATGAATATTGGCAATGTACTTTCTTGATTTTAAGTAGCCTCAGTGAAGCAGTTGGCCAGCTTCTTGAGAAAAGATTATTCTCAGTAAGTGCCCAATCAAGAAACACTTAAGCTAACAATGAACTCTGAGAGACACCAATCCACATCTGAGCTTTCCTGGGGATCTGTCATCATCCGGTAAAGTTCTGAGTCATTCATGGACATGTGACTTGCCCATGTGATTCCAAAACTGTATCTTGCAGCTGGCTTCTGCATAGGAGAGGAGAAGGGATTTCCACCCAAAAGAGAAAGTCTATTTAAGCCCCTGGAAACTCCTCCCTTTTGTTTTCAGCTGGCTCAAGAGATAGCTTCTCCACCCCCAAAGGATACCTGAAAGAAATTAGAACAAAGGACTGTAACCATAGGGGTGTGAATAATTGCTGGACCTAGACTAGAAGGAGGCTAATCTGTAAAAGAAGCTTACTGGAACATCTCTGAGAGTGAGATTTCATCTTGAATCACTTTCTTACTGTATTAGGCATAGACTTGCGTGTTTTATTTTATTATGCTTGGTAATTCATTTTGTTGTGTCTGTTATTACTTGGAACCACTTAAATCCTACATTTTGTATTTAATAAAATCACTTTTGACTTATTAATTAACCCAGAGTATGTATTATGTATTAATATCTGGGGGGAGGGACAAACAGCTCTGCATATCTCTCTATCAGTGTTATAGAGGGTGAACAATTTATGAGTTTATCCTATATAAACTTTATTCAGGGTAAAATGGATTTATTTGGGGTTTGGACCCCATTCGGAGTAGGATACCTGAGTGTTGGAGACAAGAACACTTCTTAAGCTGTTTTCAGTTAAACCTGCAGCTTTCGGGGGATGTGGTTCAGACCTGGGTATTTGTTTGTATCAGGCTAGAGTGTCGGGCTCAAACCAGGCAAGTCTCTGAAGTCCCAAGCTGGCAGGGAAGACAGGCTCAGAAGTAGTCCAGGCACAACATGTGGCAGTTCCCAAGGGGGTTTCTGTGATCCAACCCGTCAGATCTGGTATTCTGGGAATGCCTCAGTGGCCAACCTAGTCGAGGGAAGAGCTGGGAAACATTTTTCTAAGACATTGGCAGATTATTTAACTCATCTAAAAACATAGCAACATTTGTCACAAACAGGTTGCGGAAACCGTTTCCCAATGACAAGTTACTTTGACCAGCTCTACCAACCTAAGCTGAGAGCAATACACACACCCCTGCCCGTCCCATGGATCTTCGGTCTCCAGGGTGCAGAGGGACTAGGAGTGGGCATGTCTGAGATGATCCAGGAATAAACCTGCTTCTCTTCTCACTAAAGAATTCTTCCCCTCTTAGGTCTCACACCTGCTCCTGTCCTGCAGTAGCTTGGTAGGCAACATCAGCCTCTGATTAGTGCAGGAATAAGGTCCCCTGAAATTCTCAGGCCACTTGCGCGTATGCGAGGATCACCATCTAATCTAGGCTGGCACCCTGGGGACTCAACCAGAGACATCCAGAGTACAAGCTTCTACAGCTTGAGCTGAGCAGCCAGGCTACCTGACGTCCACAAGAACAGCCCCCTATCCCCTAGGTGGGTCACAGAGGAGCCTCATAACACACACTCCCCATGGGTGGTGTTTATACAGCAACACTGTGTGGCTGCAGAGGTCAAGGGCTTCATTTGAGCTGGAGTCACCTATCCGCAGCCAGGAGGACAGGGCGTCACAGACAGTTGTACTAAAGAAACGGCATGGACTCTACTGGAGTTTATTCTCTGTGTGTCCCCTTATCCTCTCCCCCATCCACGCACATCCATAAAGTCACAGTGTTCAAGGCCTGAAGGGATGACCAGATGATCCACTCTGACCTGCCATATGCCAACACCACTCAGCATCTGCACACCAAACCCAACAACTGATATTAGACTGAAATGTCACAGCCCTCAGGACACAAGATGGTTCTGTGCCATTGGCAAAGAATAGGAGAGACTGAAGGGCTCCAGTGCCCAAGGCCCCCACAATGGCAGGGAAATTATTGAGATACACCCAGAAAATCCTGAGAAGTTACCTGCACCACACGCTGCTGAGGAAAGTGAACCCCCCACAATGTCCCTGCCAATCTGACCAGGGGGGAAATTCCTTCCTGATGCCCACATGTTGATCAGTTAGACCCTGAGCATGTGGGCAAGAACCAGCCAGCCAAGAACCCGAGAAAGAGAGAATGGTTCGGTGTCACCTCAGAGCCCTGGCACATCCCACCCAATGTCCCATCTCCAGCCAAGGGTGCCCAATGCTTCAGAGATTTAAATAAAATCTCCCAGAATACACTGGGTCGGGGGGACAATCCCTTCCTGACCCCTGCCAGTGGCCAGATGAAACCCTGAAGCATAAGCTTTTAGGAACATAAGACATATGCTGTAAGTGAGCCCCAGGGTTGCTGAGCCCTGCCCCCCACCATCACAAGTAGCCCCGTCATACAGTCCCAATCAGACATGTGTCCAGCTCTCTCTTCAACTAATTCAGTCATTTGCCTCCCACAACTCCTATTGGGAGGGTGCTCCAGAACCTCGCCCCACCGGTGGTTAGAAACCTCCCTGTAATTTTTAGCCAGTCTCTCCATCGCTCACACACCTGAATGTTCATGTGAGCCAGACTGACACAGTCTGGCTCATTGTCCCCCTCTAGTGGTTAGGCCATGAATGGTGGTTTAGAAGACAGTGGGCCCAGTCCCCAGCTGGTGGTAATGGATATACAGCTCCATTGGAGGCAGTATCTCAGATCTACAGATGCTGCAAATTGCTTTAGCGCCACCAAAGTCAATGGAACATGATGAGGATCTACCCTAGTCTTACTCCAGTCTGACTCCTTTGGTTCCAGTGAAGCCACTACTGATTTATACACACAAGCAAGCAAGACAACTCCCATCATTGTTTTCAGTAGCCATGGAATGGGTGCAAGTGACCAAGCAGTGTAACGGGTATTGTTTTGGCACAGAATGAAAGCCTGAATTCCTCTCGTGCACACAATTTACACCCATTTACTCCACAACGGGACCAGATTTTCTACTGGTGTAAATCACCCCAGCGACAGTGACATCAATTAAGTTAATCTGGATTTGCATTGGTGCAACTGACGTCAAAATCAGACATGTTTGTGTGCAAGCTGTGTGGTTATGAAAATAACTGATATTAATGAATACTTAAAGATACTACATAAGCAAACTTTAATTAGAGAAAGACAGAAAAATTATTCTTGGTGAATTACCTACACCCAGTCAGTCTCCTCAGGACAGTTTTGATCTCTTTGTTCCTCATGATGTAGATAATTGGATTCACGATTGGTGGCAATACGGAATAAAGAACAGCCGCCGCAAGATCCAGAGCAGATGGGGAGCTGGAGGTGGGTTTCAGGTAGGCAAAGGCCCCAGTGCAAACAAACAAGGAGACCACAGTGAGGTGAGGAAGGCAGGTGGAGAAGGCTTTATGCCATCCCTGCTCAGAGGGGATGATTTGAGGACTGATTTGAACTGATTTGCACTGATTTGAAGATCTGAACATATGACACAATGATAAAAACAAAAGGAGCCTATGACTAAACACACAGTAAAGGCAAGAACCCAAACTTCACTCAGATATGAGCCAGAACAGGTGAGCTTCAGCAGCTTGGGGATTTCACAGAAGAACTGATCCACTATGTTGCCTCCACAGAAGGTCAATGCAAATGTGTTTCCAGTATGTAGCACAGAGAAGAGAATCCCACTGATCCCGGCACTGGCTGCCATTTGGACACAAGCTCTGCTGTTCATCATTGCGTCATAGTGCAGTGGTTGGCAGATGGCAACATATTGGTCATACACCATGACAGTGAGAAGGGATAAATCCGCTGCCAGCAAGAAAAAGGGGGAAGAGACTGGGCAACACATCCAGCATAGGAAATTAACTTGGTGTTCATGAGGGAGTTGGCCATGGATTTGGGAACGGTGACAGAGATGGAACCAAGGTCTAGGATCGACAGATTCATCAGGAAGAAGTACATGGGGGTGTGTAGGTGGTGGTCGAAGGCTATGACCACGAAGATAAGAAGATTCCCATCAGGGCTGCCAGGTAAATCAGTAGAAACACCACAAAGTGCAAAATCTGCAGCTCCCAAACATCAGAGAATCCCAGGAGAAGGAACTCAGTCACGGTGGTTAGGTTGAGCATTTTCTTTCTCAGGACATCATGTGATGGTTGCAGAGGGAGGGACAAGAGCAAGGGACAGGATTAGATCAGTTAAATAAATCTCCTTTTGTGATAACCACCTTAATTTCCTTCAGTCAGACCCTTAGCTTGTGAAGATTGGTGTAATATGGGAATGAGGATGGGGAAAGCAGCTCCACTGATTCCACTGGAGTTACTCCCGACTTGCACTGCGGTGAGAGAAAGTAGAATCAGCTCAATGGACTCCAGTGCAGTGACTACTAATTTACACCAGGGTGATGGAGAGGAGAATTAGGTACAATTGCTTTTGAGGTATTTGTATTTGTATACCTCTGTCACCCAGATGTGGGCGAACTCTGGATAACGTTGTATAAATGTTACTATCCTCAGTTTACCAAGGGGAATCAGGGGTCTGGCTGGACAGATTCTGCTGTCAGGAACTGCTGTGAATGTTGTGGTGGCAATGATTGGGAACTCCATCATCATCACCTTGGTATGCATTGACTGCCGCCTGCAGTCACCCATGTGTTTCTTCCTTTGCAATCTGTTCCTCATTGAAATCCCCATGATTATGACTGTGGTCCCAAAAATGCTGGAGAACTTCCTATCAGGGAGGAATACCATCTCCTTTTATGGCTGCCTGGGTCAGTCCTACTTCTATTTCCTGCTGGGCATTTCAGAGTATGTCTTGTTGGTCACAATGTCCTACAATCAAGATGTGGGCATATGTTACCCACTGAACTACAGCACCATCATGAATAGAAAGGTCTGCGTCTGGCTGGTGGTGGGATCATGGATGGGGGGATTCTTCTCCATCTTGGTCCCTACCGTGATCAAACTTGGATTGCCCTACTGTGGCCCCAACATCATCAACCGTTTCTTCTGCTATCGCACGCCCTTGTTATACCTCTCCTGTGCCAACATCTGGCTGGTGGAATTCATCAACTTCATCATCTCGCTGCCTGTGTTGCTAGGCTCCGTGATGCTGATGGTCATCTCCTACGTGTATATTATCTGCACCATCATCTGTATCCCATCCGCCAAAGGCAGGGAGAAAGCTTTCTCCACCTGTGCCTCTCATTTCACTGTGGTCACCATTGGCTATGGCACTTCCATCTTCATCTACATCATGCCCTTGCAAGTCAGCTCCATGAATCTCAACAAGGTCACCTCTTTGATGACCACAGCAGTGACCCCAATGCTCAACCCACTCATATTCAGCCTCAGGAACCAGAAGGTCAAGGAGGTGTTGAGGGTCTCAATTGACAAGTGCCTGGGGCTCATCAAACACACACTCTGAGCTGGGGTAAGAAGGAGGCAGTGCAGAAATATTGAGGTTTTGTATTCCCTGGTGCTGCTGCTTTAGTTCCAGTGGAAGATGTCCATGGTCATGATTCTTCAGGGTGCAGACAGCCTCTTGGAGTTTGCTGAGCACCCACAACTCCCATTGCAGTCATTGAGGATGTTCGGCA